AAATATTCTTATGTTTGATAACGTGTATCAGTTGGTACAATTTAGCAATGTGTATCATATTTTAGTAGACAAAAATATGCTTATGTTTGATAACGTGTATCAGTTGGTACAATTTAGCAATGTGTATCATATTTTAGTAGACAAAAATATTCTTATACATCATGAATTATAAGTTTTAAGGTTAAGGGTATTTTAATAATTTTTATTCTCAAAATTAAAAAAAATAAAAATAAACCCTCTAAACCCTTATTCACCTCCCTCATTCCTCAACCCTCTTTCTCTTTTATCTCTCTCACTCCAACATTTTGTGTATCATCCTATGGTAGCGAAAAAATCAGAAACATTGGCTCTTAAACAAACTTACAAAAAATGATTTTATATTGAGTTTTCATTTTATAATTTTTGTCTTATCTAATTTTATCCAATTTTCACAAACATAAAGGAATTGGTAATTGACCTGGAAAAAATAAAAAATACTCTCTTAAACAATTTCTTACAAAAAATGATTTTATAATGAGTTTTCATTTTATAATTTTTGTCTTATCTAATTTTATCTAATTTTCAGAAGCATAATGACATCAAAAGAAACTGGTAATTGGCCTGGAAAAAATCAGAAACACTCGTTGTTAAACAATTTCTTATAAAAAATGATTTTATAATGAGTTTTCATTTTATAATTTTTGTCGTATATAATTTTATCTAATTTTCACAAGCATAATGATATCCGAAGGAATTGGTAATTGGTCGGGTTTTCTTAGAGATGATGATTCAACATATGCAGATGATGAAATTAGAGAGGTTAGTGAAGATGGTGAAATTGAAGAGATCTTGAATAAACATTTGCCTAAAGGTGAATATGTCAATGACTCAACTCTTTACAAAGACAAATTGTTTAAGGGCAAGTGTTGGATGACAGAGAAAATGTTGGAGTAAGAGAGATAAAAGAGAAAGGGTCGAGAAGAATGAGGGAGGTCAGAACGGGTTTGGTTTTTTTTCTTTTTTTTTAGATTTGAGAATGAAAATTATTAAAATACCCTTAACCTTAAAAGTTAGAATTCATGATATATAAGAGTATTTTTGTCTACTAAAACCCGGTACACATTGCTAAAATATACTGAAAAACAGGCGTACGTACATTAGCAAACCCAATATATATATATATATATATATATATATATATATATATATGAGCACGTGAAATTTCACGTGTTTTCTCAAGTAAACAAAAATTAAATAACCTACACATTAAGACATGAATATAAATTTGAATAAAATGAGGGCAAGTAGTTTATTCTGGAGTTCCTTCCAAATATGTTTTAGTTTGAAAAGTAATACATTTTCTCCTTTAATTTTTTCATATGGATACACGAGATAACAAAACGTGATAATAGTAAGTTAAGTTAGGTTGATGAATTGAGTTTAGTTTTTCTTTTTTTAATTTCAAATTTTAAATATTTTGATGTTTTATTATACTATTATATTTGTTTTTGCTTTATGATTGACATATACAATAATGATTTATTTTTTTATTTCTCAAATTTATATTTTGTTTGTGTTGAAATTTCACTTGGTAATGGTTTCGTTTCAATCTAACGCATATTTTAGAGGGTTGATATATTAATTTGTTTTGATACCCTAAACTAAGGGAAAAAAAGGATATGTTAACTTTTTTTTAGTAAAAAAATAAGAAAAAAGTTAAGCGTGTATATAAAATACCATAAATACTTCTCATAAAAAAAATAAAGTATTCAAAAATAAATTATTTTAGTTATTTAATTCAGTGTTGTTAAAATGGATTGTAACCCACGAGTCATCCTGGCTCATCACGGGTTTGAGCCAGGTTGGGTTTGAAAAAAAATGCAATTTTTTATGTGGGCTAGTTTACAACTTAGCTCACCGGGTTGGCTCACCAACCCACATAATTTAATTTAATTATTTATTATTTTGTGTTTTAATATTATTAATTTTTTTATTATATTGTAGATTGTGATAAAGAAGAAAATGTTTCAAGAGAGAAAAATACTATAGATTTATCTATTCAAGACTCTAATATTATAAATGGACAAGTGATACAAAAATTATCAATATTAAAAACTTTTTTGTTCGCCTTTTGTACATGTTTTGGATTACACTTGGATTGTATGATATTTTTTATTTATTTTGAATTTATCTTTGGAGTTTAACATCATTTTAGTGCTATGTTTATTTAGATTTGAATTAAAAAATTGTAATTTTTTTATTTAAAAAAACTTATAATTAAATGAGCCAGTGAGACAACCCGTTCAACCCACCAACCCATGGTAGGTCGGGCAGGGTTCGAAAATTTTTAGTTTGTTAATAAGCAAGTCGGGTTGGGTTAATTCACTAAGTAACCAACCCGTGGTGGACCAGGTTGGATCGAGCCGGATTATCTGTTTTGACAACTCTACATAAAACCATCTTATCACAAACTTGATGGAAACTATTTAAATTTTTTTTCCTCCTCTTTTTTAAGAAAGCAAAGTGAAAAAAAAATTACATTTTTGTTCACATTTCTTTATTTATTTTCCTTTTTGTTTCTCTTGTTTTTCATTTCTTTATTTATATCCACATGCATGATTTGTACTTTTCATTCTTCTTTAATAATTTATTAGATCTACTTGACTTCAAGGATTGTTGGGTAAAACAAAGTCTCACCTCAGATAAAATAAAAGATGAATATGTGTTTATATACATATAAGACACATATATTGACAAGAGGCCTTTTAGAGTGGTAAAACAATCATAATCATATAAAATGTTAAATAAAATTTAAAATATAACTCAATTTATAAAATAAAGTTTTCACTCATTTATATAATATTATATTTAATTGATGTGAAACTTTGAACATAAAAAGTTTAAAAGTTTTAGAAGAATTAAAGATTGATATTTAAAATACATTATTGTTATCATCCATTAATAAATCTCATAGATGATATACTTGAATCATAATATCTCTTAACATTGAGATAAATAATTCTATTTTGTATGAAATTCTGAATGTATAAGATGAAAATATGTACATAAGTGAAGATAAACTGGAGTAAACATGGTGAGGGATGATTTTAATTGAAATTCATTGTGAATCATTGGAGGAGAGTTTGACAGTGAAATGGGTCAGAAAAGCTCTTCAATTTAAGTTTCTACCAGTCTACTACTCTATTAATGGTAGCTATGGTCAGAATTAATTGAAATAGGCACAATTAGGAGAAAGTGGGTGAACAGTGAGACCCAACATACACAAAAAAGCATAATATCAAAGAATTAAACGCCAGATTTGATTAGGCTTAAAAGTACACATGTTTTACTCCACTCACCCACTCACTCCATGCCTAAAGTTTCCTCATAAGACATGTTCCAATCCTAGCAAAAGTTAAGAAAGAAAGACAGATTTGGAAACCTTGTGCAATAATGAAAAACCTATTTACACCTGCCATCTAAGTGAGACATAACATATTACATTGAAAGAGGGAGAGACAAGTTTATAATGCAAAATTTTCTATAGATCAAACACTCCAATTTACTCAATTAAAGACTAATTTTACCCAAACTATTATGATTATTAGTTTTGTAATGTTAGTTAAGAGTAAAAAAGTCAAAAGATGTAATATTATCTTCATAATGGTTAAGGGATTAAAATGCACTAGACATGTAGTAAAATGGATAATATTAGAGACATGGGTATGCTGTAGGATTTGCAAGTATGAAGTAGCTTTGAAGAAAGAATTTGTCAAAGTAGTATAGTAAGTAGTGAATAAATGATTGATTAAAATGTAATAGAGATTAGAGAAAGGAAGGAAAACTAGGACAATCAAACCTAGTAGGTTGTAAGATGCGATACCCCCATGAGCATGCCATCACAAATGCAAGACTATTTACATATGGTGAGATTGCCAAGATTTCTGAAAAGTATTATATAGTTATGATAATAAGGTTGAGAAAAAATAGTTTTACGATTTAAAAAAATATCTTTAGATTGAGGAAGGTTTTCTGGATAAAAAATGTAATGATTTTATTTTTTTTTTAAAAAAGTGATTAATAAAGTATTGTTACTGCTTCTTGTTCGTTCCATTATCACATCTTGAACCTTTTACAAACATAATATAAGCATAGTGAAAAGGTAGAAATTAAATGTGCAAAACTGTTTATAAAACACGAGTTGTTGTTACCTAGTTTATTAAATCAAATTTGTTGAGGAGCTTGAATTTATATATTGAGCCTTTGTTGGTAAAAACTAATTTACAAAAATAAAACAGTAACAAAATAAAGAAGTGGCAAAAAAATAAGTAGCAACAAAACAGAATTTGCGTAAATAATAATTAAAAAATTAAAGCTTTTATTTTTTTTCTTGACACTTAACGAAACTAAAGTTTTCTTTTTGGACCCCAAAATCAAATTGGATTAAAAAAAATATGAACATGAGAAATATATGTTTTGTCATGGTTACACGTTTCTAAAAATATATTATAGTTGTTAAAAGCAAATTTAGATGTGAATCATAAGAAGTTATCTAACAAAGTATCATGGACCCATTTGTTAATATTATAACAAATTTTAGATCTAATTATTCATATTCAAGTTATACTTAGAAAAGTTCAATCAATCTTACTTATAAATAAAGATTCTTTAGATTCTCGTAATTATAACTCTATTATTATATATTTAGTTAAAAAAAAGGAAATTATTGGAGAACCATTTCACCTTTATGTCCATAAAACAGTCGAGATCACAAATTTAAAATGATATATATACATAGTAAGTATTTAATAGATTATACGTAATTAAAATTTGAAAAATTAAAATTACTGAAAAGAGTTTAGGAATTAAATTACGAATGAATAGAGACCTTTTTATTAATTTTTCTTATTTTAAATATATTTATAAATTGAATTAAAAAAGTTATAAAAAAAATGGTTAAAAAAATAAGTTATAAAAAAAATGGTTAAAAAAATATTTTGCTACTGAAAATGGTTCATGCAAAAGAGGGAGAGGGGCGTGATGAAATTTATGAATGGAGAGCAGCATCACATCATAACATTCATCCTTCAACTAAACCAAACAATGAACAACACTCGCAAACATCCCATTTCTTCCGGCCACGTCCCTTCCGCCACTTCTCCCGTCAATTTCCGCCGCTCCACCCCCAAAATTCATCTCTCCGCCAGGAAGCTCGCGGCGCGTTTATGGCACTTCCGCTTCTTCCACCGTTCCTCTTCTCACAAGGTATACACTTCTTCACTTCACAACATTCATATCGTTCACTTTCATACATTCACAAACCTTATTTTCCGTCATCCCTGTCCTCAAGCTTCAATCCTCTCCACCACCACGTGTCAAGCGCACAGAGGAAGAGGCCACACAAGGTGATAGCAGGAAGCTTCTCAGAGACGCTAAATTAAACGGTGCCTCTGTTGTCTCTGTTCTTCTCTCGGAGCTCCTTCGGGCTCAAACCTGCATTAACAACCTCAAATCAGAACGCAAATCCTCTAAGAAAAAGCTGGAGGAGGAAAAGTTCCTCTGGAAGCGTCGGGAACTGAAGAAGAACGAAGCAGTGTTGGAGGAGTTGAAGGATAAGTTAGCCAGGGAAAGGAGAAGTAAAGAGAGGATGGAATCACTTAACTCCAAATTGGTACATGAGCTGGCCGAAGCAAAACTATATGCCGAGCAATTTATGATTAACTACAAGGAGGAAAGGAGAAAAAGAGAAATAATAGAGGAAGTGTGCAACGGATTGGCGATGCAAATAGGAGAAGACAGAGCTAAGCTGGAGGGGATTCGTGAGGAGATGGAGGAAGAGAGGAAGATGTTTCATGTGGCAGAGATGTGGAGAGAGGAGAGCATTCAAATGAAGCTACTCGATGCCAAACTTGCCCTGGAAGATAAGTATACCCAGATGATCCACTTGATTGCGCATCTGCAAAGTTTCTTGAGGTCAAGAGGTGATGAACTGGGTGCACCCGAATCACCCAATGTTGAACTTTCATGTGATTTCACAAAGTCAAATCTTGTTCTCGACACTTTGAATGAGATCAAAGTTAAAGAGAGGGTGATTGGAGTTGAGCCCTGCTTCCTTTCCACTCTTACCGCTCCCTCTTCCACCGTCCACATTGTAAGTCTTGATGAAGATCATCGCCTCAACAATAATCTTCACGATGTTGACCAAAACGTGAATGGATTAGGGAGTGAAGCAGAATGTTGTGAAAATTCACAGGATGGTTGTTGCAAACACTCTGACTCTTCTATGGCGCAACAAAACTCCGAAGATCTTACTTTTGGTGAGTGTGAAGTCAGACTTGCAACACGTTCTGTTAAGAGCCGTGGGTTCAGACAATGGGAATTATTGGGACCACGAAATTTTGCAGACTCGATGAATCCACACATCACTCGTGGGATGAAAGGGTGCATAGAATGGCCACGAGGCATGCCCAAAATCAATTCCAAGATAATTCCTGTGGAAGAAAGAGTGCGAAAAGAGAAATCTCAGTTGCACTTAAGACCTTGTTTGAAAGAGAATAAGTATACAAACAGATTTGAGTAAAACTCCATTAATTTAATTTTGTCTAAGGTGGTTTGTGGAACAAATTTGCAGAAGAAACACCACCTCATCACAGATTTTAGCTTATATTAGTAGAGAATACCGTTGTTTTATTAATGAATTATGAGTGTGCTGATTCTGTTGTAGAGAGCAAACCATATTGATAGAAAGAAGTATTACTATTCCTTGAAATCATGTTATGCAGACTTTGTAGTGATCTGAGAATTTGTTGAATTTGATGAGCATTGTGTACTGATGCTATTGGTGGTCCTACTTTCCTTGGGGCCAAAACTGGAGAATTTATGAAATGATAAATTGGTTGCTTATGATTATAATGGTTATGAGAGGATATTGTGGGAATTATAAGCTATTTGAGTAAAAACAAAAGCAATGATGATAGGAGATGATTTGCTTTCCCAGTGGTACATTGATTGAATGATTAAGAGTGATAAGAAGAATGTTTGTGGAGAAGAATCCGGCGCGCCTGATGATGCGCCTATAATTTTTGGTGTCTTTCTTTGCTGGCAGAGATGGTTAGCTATCTTTATGATGGACCCACCTAATCCACGCCACGCTGCTGTTTCGTTAAGACAAATTTGTTTTTTAATTAAAATAAGAAATGATATTTTTAATTATGTAATAAAAACATCCAATATTGAATTTTTAATGGTTTTTTTATATGTACCTGTGTAAATAAGGTTGAAAGTGAAGTTAAATTCCAAGGTAAGTTGTTGTGTTACCCATTATAATAGAAAAATATTCTTTTAACAATATTTTACAACTTAGCTTATAATTGATCCGTTTCAAATATACGGATCAATAATCTATTATTAAAAAAAGTTGTTAAAATATTATAGTTCATTATAAAAAGAAGATGAAGAACCGTTTCTTCTTTCTACGTCATTGCTTCCACAACCAACAACTTTTCTTTCTTTCATTCATATATTGAAATAAAAAATGATATTATGACACACTTTTACATTTATTTGATATAGAAAACAAGGGTAAAATGGTCACAAAAGTGTAAAGTTTTGTATTTTTTCAAGAAAGAAGAAAGTAAAAAGTAAGTAAGAATAGTGTCAAATAAATGTAAAAAATTTAGGTGTGTCAAATAATTATTTTTCATATTGAAATAACTTATTTCCTCGTTACTTTTATTGCACAACTCCAATATTTTCTTCACAAATTCATATTATTTATTATAATTGTTTATAGTCTTCCACAAACGAAGGTGTTCAATGATTTTTACTCCGCTGCATCTCATTAAACAAAATTAAACAAAAACATAGGGCGATTATTATGTGCATAAAATTGGTGATGCATAGATATAGATATGAAAAGTAGTAGTAAAGATGTGTAATATTTGAACATGTTAGCTGCCATAGGATTTGGTGGACCAATGTTAAAACTCTTAGAATGACACATTTTTTTTATGGCTGACTAAAGGAGCCGAAAGAACAAAAAAGAAATATATCTCAGGGCCCATTAAAAAAAAAAGAGAGAATTGTGATATATTTTACAATAAAATTACTGTTAATAATAGAAAACACTATGTAGTTACTACTATTATAAATAATAAAGGTGTTAGTGCATGTATTAGATGGGATGTGATGTGAAAGAAGAATAAAACGAAACTGATTTTACATAGAAATGGGAAAAAGTAGTTCAATTTAAATTCAACGCAAGGAAAAAGTGAATGAAAGTATGACTATACTGAATTTAGAAATGGGGTAACTTTAAAAAGTAAAATTTGAGAGGATTATTAAAAGAGAATATAAGACAAAAGAATAAAATAATATTATATAAATTAAGAGATATATTAAAAAGGTATAGTTCTGAAAATTCAAAAATGATTTCTTGATTTTAAAACTTAAAGGATCTTTGTTTTCAGAAGGTGACAAAACAAAGGTTAAACATGAAACAACAAAGAGACTGAGAATTTGTTTTATGTCCATGTCTTCAAACAAAAGTAGGATAAATCATTTTGTTTACCTTCAAAACTTGTTTTTTATTTACATTCAGTATTTTTAACACACACTATTTAATAAGTATATTAATTTATTTTTTATATTAACAATTTTAATATAAGTTAGTTTTAAAAAATATAAAAACATATTTAATATTTGTAATAATAATAATAATAATAATAGTAGTAGTAGTAGTATATAATATTTATTATTATAAAAGCAGTAATAATAATTAAATTTTTTTTAGTAATTTTTTTTTATTTCAGAAAGTTAATGTCTATTGTGTTGATATACATTTTACTTTTGTTTGTTTAATTTTAAGAACATATTAAACAACCGATTTACTTTACAATCAAGAGCAAAATAATTTTACAAAAATTAAATATAATATCTATTTATTTATTAAAAAATTATGTAGAAGAATATTTTATTTATTTGTTATTTAATCAAAAATAGATAAAACGATCACTTTTTTTCTTTCAATTTTACTACTATCAAAGAAAGTGGAAATATATAAGTGTGTATAATGTTAACAAATGTGAGAGATAAATAGTTTATTAGAAATAATTCAAAACATTTTAGTATACACGATTAATTTTAATATACTTGTATGACCTTAAAATATAAATAAAAAGATAAAGATATTATTATAATATAATAATTGTTTTAAAAGGGAACAAATATATTTAACATTTTTACTCTCTTTATTTTCATTCCCTTTCTAATCCAAACAATGAAAAGTGTATCTTATCTAGAGTATGTTGGTTCTTTTGCTTCTTTGCAAAAAACATAAAAAATAAAATATCATATCAATATGATAATGTGAAATTTTTAATATATTTATTGTAATTTTTCAATAATATCTATTATAAGTTTATCAATTTAATAATAATTATAAAAATGTTAAACTTGACATGATACTTTTGTAAAACTAAAACAACATACAATTAAATATTAAAGGACTAAAATAGTAGTAAAAATAAAAATAATAATTAAATTTCATATTTAAAAAAAAACCAAAATTACAATTAATTAAAGTTCAACAGAAATAAATCAACCATTAGTGTTTCTTTTTCATTTAAAACTAATTATTACCATTGAAAATAATTTATTTCATTCACTTCAAACCGAAAACAAATTTTGATTATTATAATAAAATACAAATTTTTATTGTTATAATAAAATACTTGTCATAAAAAGTACAAGGATACACTGACTCAATTACATTAGTTTATTAATAAATATGCATAATAAAAAAATTACATTGATCTGAATAAGGCAAAATTGAACCTTTATAAAAAAGACAAGGGTCTAAGAGACGGATTTTTCCTAAAATAAAAAGCATCATTTACACTCTCTTCAAAATTAATTTATAATAATTGGAGCTACTTTAAAAACAAAACTCGTATCCTCTACTTTAATTTGCGTAATGTAATATAATATAATATAATATTAATAAAGAGATTTTTTTTATAATAAAATAATTACCTATAATTAAACTACAAAATAATTTATATTTTAAATTATCTAACCAATAATTATCATATAATCGATTTATTAAAATTGTTATATTTAGTAATATGGTAAAAATGTGAGAAATATAAAAATATGATATAAATATATTTAAAGGGTATAAAAAATAGTTAAAGAAGTTGAGACGGAATCCCCAGATGGAGTGACAGAAGTAACAGATAACCGTGGCAGTTTGTGGAGTGTCGTTGTTGATAAAGATAAAAGCATAACAGTGAATGATTCGAGTTGCAATGTCTCAACTTTTACCCACTCTCCTTCTTTCACTAACAAAACAAACCTCATTGCCACTCCCAAGTACAACTTTTCAATACATGGCTCAGAATAAAAGCACAGCATAGGATGCTTGCGAGCACTGAGGGGTCTAAATCTAACAGAGTTGGACCTATGGCCCAGGGGCCCACTCCTGCCATCTCCAACCATTTCCTGTGCTCTGGCCCACTCCACAATCTAAGGCCCATTAAGAAACAAACCAACCCTCTCCTCTCATCAATAATCAACAGTGCATTTAAAAGATGCCAGTTTGCAGACACACTTCCTTCACCCAATCCCGCACTTCAGGACCTAACTACAGTTCGCCATTTCGGTAAACCTTTCTCACTCCAACGGGCCTGGGCCCAAGGCCCGTGCTCTTTATTTCATAAATGTTTTTATTTTATTATTATTTTACTGAGAATACGACAGGTGGCAGCGGTGTGGGTCCCAGACGATTGTGGACCGCTGAATGTGGGTCTTTGTGGTGATATTGATCTTGTTTGAAAAAGATGCCTTTTAGAAATCCATGGGCATTGAATTCAATTTGGTGTCATTAGCATTATTGATTAAGTGTTTCTTTATCTTCATCTTCTTTCCAAATCTGCAACCTTATTTTTCACAATAAATTACAACCTGTCATTGTGTACCCACGTGGAACAGATTGAGACATCATAAACGGACCCCTTCTTCCAGAATCTTACACGTGGTGGGCTGTAAGAGGTTGCACATACGCTACCCACGTGGAGCCTCCCATCTTTATTGCATCTGGCAATTCCATCGTTGTGTTGCAACCAGTGTGATATTGTCCTATTTAAAAATAATATTAATGAAGGAAAATTTAAAAGAATAATGATGAAGTATGACGTGGTTGACTAGAATGATGAAAATATTGTAATCCACTGATTTCTTCGAGTGTGATTTTTGGTTTTAAAATAATTACATAAGTTGTTGATTTCTTTTGAAAATGTGAATGAAAAGATAAATCTTTTTATGGGAATTATAGCCACCATCAACAAAAATGGAAATTTGATGGAAGAACCCAACCTGCTTGTAACCATGCCATTTCTGCATTATTTTCTCTGTCTATCTGTCAATTTAAAGTATGTAAATTAAATAATAATAATTTTACAATTTTTTTTTTGGTAACAACATTTAAACCCATTTCTTAGGATGGAGACATATCTTAAAACATCCTTATTGCAAATATTATAACGAGTAAGGATACTTCTCATTTTCTCTCAATAACTTACTCTCTTGTTTATATACTTCACTCTATTTTATTTATTTTTTGCAATAAACAATAGTCTTTATAGTAACATTTATAGAATTCTTTTTATGCATCAAAAACCAACTTTTTAATTATATATTCACATGTTTGATTTTTTTTTTCACTTTTTATATTACACAAATTTCACGTTTATCTGGAAAACAAGCTTACATGAATGTTTTTTTTTTTGATTAAATAAATCATTTTTATTTAAC